GGGGGTGGAGGGGTTCAAGTTTTATAAAAAGGGGATTTTGATTTGGATTATATTTTGTGGAAGTCCGGGGTGGGAGGGGTGGGCTAGGGAGGGTTAGGGAGGTTAGGGAGGGGTAGGGGGGGGAAACGGGGGAGAAAATGTAATTGTAAAACTTTTTCAATAAAAAAAAAGAATGGGCCAATAAAGAGGATAATGAAGTATATTCAGTCTGGGAAGAATACCTTCCTAAATAGGAGGCCCTCAGCCAATTGGCCAAAGTGGATTCCAGCAGGAAAATTGGTATGGCCACTAAGAAGATATTTCTCTTGTCCCCATTAGTTGTCTCCCAGATATGGTTGGGACATAGGGAAGGGTTTAGAATTGCTAGAGTAGAAGCTGATTCATCGTTCCTATCACCCATCTCCTTCCACTAATGACTGTATGACTGTAACTTTGTTGCTTGTATCCTTACTATTTATATTGACTGTTTCCTAATATGATTTGATTGCTTATTTGTACCCTATGTGTACCCTATCATTAAGTGTTGTACCTTATGATTCTTGACAAACGTATCTTTTCTTTTATGTACACAGAGAGCATATGCACCAAGACAAATTCCTTGTGTATCCAATCACACTTGGCCAATAAAAATCGTATTCTATTCTATTCTATTCTATTCTATTCTGTGATTGGAAGACTGATGCTTAAACAAAATGGAGCTAAGATTAGGGAGATTTAATAACTAATATTTTGGATGGTATCTGCAATCAATCTAGTAAAAAAATTTTCACTGTGGTTGGGTAGATATATTGGGTTAATCCATAATATGTTTTGCTTTGTTTTGCCAAAATCAGTAAGATCAAGCAATTCTGGTTTACAAACCATAAATTTAATCGTAGATTTGATTTTTATTAAGACCCATCTTAGTTGTAATCTATATATATAAAAAAGGATCTATGCATATATATATATACGATCCAGCATAACTCTGGAATGGCTTGAGCAATTTCAACCAAACTTGATACACAGATGATTTACCCTCTGGAAAAAATTACTGTGGGGGTAACACACCCTAACACCCCTCGGTGTGTGTGTGGGGGGGGGGGGGTGACAGCATAACTGGAACGTCTTGAGTAATTTTAATCGCTCAGATTCGGGAAGATCTGGACTCCGACTGGATAGTCTCAGGGGGAGGGACTGGGGCAGGTCTTGAGAATGTTATCTGGGATGAGTTTGATCCTGTGACCCCTGAGGACGTGGACAGGATTCTGGGTAGACTGAACGCGACCACTTGTTTATTGGACCCGTGTCCCTCCTGGTTAGTGCTGGCTTCTTGGGAGGTCACACGAGGCTGGTTCCAGGGGATTATAAATGCTTCACTGGGTGAGGGTGTCTTTCCTGCTGCCTTGAAAGAGGCGGTGGTGAGGCCTCTCCTCAAGAAGCCTTCCCTGGACCCGGCAATGTTGGTAAATTATCGTCCGGTCTCCAACCTTCATTTTGTGGCGAAGGTTGTTGAGAGTGTGGTTGCGCAACAGCTCCCCCAGCACCTGGATGAAACGACGTATCTGGATCCGTTCCAGTCGGGCTTCAGGCCTGGGTACAGCACGGAAACTGCATTGGTCGCGTTGGTTGATGATCTCTGGAGGGCTCGGGACAGGGGGTGCTCCTCTGTCCTGGTCCTGTTAGATCTCTCAGCGGCTTTTGATACCATCGACCATGGTATCATGCTGCACCGGTTGGAAGAGTTAGGGGTGGGAGGCACTGTGTTGCGGTGGTTCTCCTCCTTTCTCTCTGATGGGTCGCAGTCTGTGTTGACAGGGGGACAGAGGTCGACCCCGAGGCCCCTCATATGTGGGGTGCCGCAAGGGTCGGTCCTCTCACCTCTCCTGTTCAACATTTATGTGAAGCCACTGGGCGAGATCATCCGTGGTTTCGGGGTGGAGTACCATCAGTACGCTGATGACACCCAGCTGTACATCACCACCCCGGATCACCCCAACGATGCCCTTGAAGTGATGTCCCGGTGCCTGGAGGCTGTACGGATCTGGATGGGGAGGAACAGGCTCAGGCTCAACCCATCCAAGACCGAGTGGCTGTGGTTTCCGACGTCCCGATATAGCCAGTTGACGCCATCACTGACTATTGGGGGCGAATCATTGGCCCCCATGGAGAGGGCTCGCAACTTGGGCGTCCTCCTGGATTCACGGCTGTCTTTAGAAGAGCACTTGACGGCCGTGACCGGGAGGATTTTTTATCAGGTCCGCCTGATTCGCCAGTTGCGTCCCTTTCTGGATCGGGACTCGTTACGCACGGTCACTCATGCCCTCGTCACCTTCCGCCTGGACTATTGTAATGCTCTCTACATGGGGCTCCCCTTGAGGAGCACCCGGAGGCTCCAACTGGCGCAGAGTGCGGCCGCGCGGGTGGTAATGGGAGCGACATGGCGCTCCCATGTAACACCTCTCCTGGGCGAGCTGCACTGGCTCCCGGTGGTCTTCCGGGTGCGCTTCAAGGTTTTGGTTACCACCTTTAAAGCGCTCCATGGCTTAGGGCCTGGTTATTTACGGGACCGCCTACTACCACCAATAGCCTCCCACCGGCCAGTACGCTCTCATAGAGAGGGACTCCTCTGGGTGCCATCAGCCAAACAGTGTTGACTGGCGGCCCCTAGGGGGAGAGCCTTCTCTGTGGGGGCACCTACGATCTGGAATGAGCTCCCCCCGGAGATATGGAGGATCCCGGATCTGCGCTCCTTCCGCCGTGCTGTGAAGACCTTTTTATTCCATCAAGCGGGCTTGGCCTGATCTCTTCCCTTTTTAAATATGTAAATTTTAATCTGTTTTTTAAATTATTGGGGTATTTTAATTTGTCTGGGCCAAAAAGTTTAATTTGATTTTATCGGGTTTTTAAATTTTGTGTATTTATGTATTTTATTGTTGGCTGTTCACCGCCCTGAGTCCTTCGGGAGTAGGGCGGTATACAAATCAAATAAACTAAACTAAACTAAACTAACCAAACTTGGTATACAGATGACTTTCTCTCTGGAAAAAAATACTGTGGAGGTAACACACCCCTAATACCCCTCGGGATGTCTGTGTGTGTCTGTGTGTTCCAGCATAACTCTGGAATGCCTTGAGTAATTTTAACCAAACTTGGTATACAGATGACTTACTCTCTGGAAAAAAATACTGTGGGGGTAACACACCCTAACACCCCTTGTGTGTGTGTGTGTGTGTGTGTTCCAACATAACTCTGGAACGCCTCGAGCAATTTTAACCAAACTTGGTACACAGATGACTTACTCTCTGAAAAAAAATACTGTGGAGGTAACACACCCCTAATTACCCCTCGGGATGTCTGTGTGTTCCAGCATAACTCTGGAATGCCTTGAGCAATTTTAACCAAACTTGGTACACAGATGACTTACTCTCTGGAAAAAAATACTGTGGGGGTAACATACCCTAACACCCCTCGATGTGTGCATGTTTGTGTGTTCCAGCATAACGCTCAAAAACCTCCAGCAATTTTAATCAAACTTGCTACACAGATGACTTATTCTCTGGAAAAAAATACTGTGTGGGTAAGACACCTCTAATACCCCTTGGGGTGTGTGTGTGTGTTCCAGCATAACTCTGGAACACCTGGGCTGCTGAAATGAAAAGGAATGAATTATATCTATAGTGTCAAATCACAGTACTTTTGACAGTGATAGTGTGCATTTTGTATTCAAGTTCTGTTAAGATACAGCCTGTTGTGCCTTTAAATGGCTTCTAATGTACATCACATGGAGTTGCCATGGTAATAGCTTCACAGTACTCCACAAAGGAGCTCCCTCTGGTAAGGGGGATTGGTTCTTAAACAAACAAACAAAAATAAACCCCCTAGGCCCTCAGCTTCAAGCAAAGAGGGCAAGTTGTCAGGGGAGGTGCCTGCTAATGCAGATAATCACCTCAAAGACTGTTCCCTGTAGATTTTTTCCCAGGCTGTTGGCCAGGGCAATTAGGTCTCTAATTCTCACCACAGTGAGCGATGGCTTTTCCTGTCTAATACAGGATTGGGATAAATAAATACCCGGGGAACGCCGGGTTATCATATATATATATATATATACTTTAATAAAGTATACTTGGCTGAATTTGTACATATTAATCCATGTCATAATTTATACAATATAGCAAATAAAAACCAAACATTTTTTATTTTGTTTGATACATAAACCCATCATGCATGATGTGTGAAGCAAATTACATTCATCAAACCATAGTTAAGCAAATTGACTTTGCATGTTGTATAGATTCAGTCTCTGGTTTAATTACATGCATTCTGTTAATTGATGGAATGAATATCAATTCTCTGTATGTAAACCGTAGTCTAAAAATAAGAATATTCACAAAATAAATATATTATACAGGCCCTCTGTTGTGTTAACCAAAGCAAGTCCACATACTTAACATAGTTTATTAATATTTTTGTGAAATGTTCCCATTTTTCTACAAGTATATGTAATTATCTTAAAATTTCCTTATAAGAGAAGTATTTAAGAAGGATGTTTCTTGTTTTGTTTGGTTGTGCATTCTGCTGCTGTAGTTCTTACTGTACTTCAGGACCAAATAAAGAATCTCAATCAACAATCATTCCTACTAACTGATAATGGTGTAATATAATATGTTTGACTCAATCAACTTTGATTTTAAAAATATGTTTTTGTTATCATAGCAACAAATGTAACCAATTCAGTAAAATACACACCACTTTTTAGTTACCATTTACTGTTATCCAAATTCATCACATTTAACCTGTTCTAGTACTATTTATGGAAAAGTGTAATTATTATATTTCTTTGGTCATTTGGTGGGATTTTGTTTTCCGTTCCTTTGACTTTGTTCCTGAGTTTCTGGGGCGAGGTGAGGGACTGCTGATCTTGGTAGAAGAAAACTAAGACATTAATTAAATTACGCAATATTCTCTCTCTCCCTCTCTCTCTCTCTCTTTTTCTTTCTTTCTCTTTCTGCCACAACTAGACATTCTGCTCACAAGAAAAGGAAGAACAGAAGATACCACTTAAGTCTTGCTGAGGAAATTACAGGAACCAAGAAGATCCTCTCTGCCTGAATTAAAAGACAGTATTGAATCTCTGCTTGTTTTGCTTATAAAAAGTGAAGCTGCCTGTACCAATATTCCAGGAAGAAAATGACAGAGGAATAACAAGCTTTTTGGTTGCTAGTTTTTTTTTTCTTACTTCATTTTGCCTGCTTATTAGTCTACAGAAATTACAATAGAACATAAGGTTATTTTTCCGGTTTTTAGTATTTTTGAATATGTTTTACACTCTGAATAAACTTTTTACACTAGATATAGGACTTCATTATGATCATTCTTGGAAAAACTATTTTTTTTTTTTAGTTTGCCTCCCATTTTTTTCAGATACAAAGATGTTTTCCTGTCATAGCTTATTACCGTAACAATATTGCAGTATTATTTCTGGATTTAAAAGAAATACGGCGTTCATGTCACTTCATGAGATACCACTGAGGAATGTGGAGGAAGTTTTATATTTTAGCATTGTGTAACTTAGTTTTGATTTTGAATCTTTAAGCCACAGACACACCTATAGAACCAGTTTTATATTGCATATCCAAATGTGAAAGATGTCTTGGAAGAGAAATTATTTTTCTGTGGGACAGGGTGGTGTGCAAGACATGTTTACTCCACGAAATACAACATCTATAGCACCAAGTAAAGGTCTCAGCAATGAGCCAGGACAAAATAGCTGCTTCCTGAATAGTGCATTACAGGTAAGAAATCTGAAATAATGTGCCTATCTTTTATATAAAAATGTTCTAATGTTTTAAAAGCATATATAATTCAGTGCTATGGAGTCCAATTTTGTTGGACCCTATTATAAACTTCTCTTAATGTAGTTTTCAGATTCTCTGGCATAGTATATAGCATACATATATTCAATATGGATATAAGATATTTAGTATCTTGGATTTGAATCCTTGTGTTAGTATTTTGCTTTTATTTTTAAAATAACAAGGTTGGTATTATACCTTTCCCGTGACCATTTTTCAGAATGTATCAGACAACAAAATTGTTTTCCTGCTTTCTTGGTATTGCCACAATAGTATATTAAGCACAAATACAATCATGAATGCTTCATTTGAATGGATTTTTGAGAGGTTATTGGAGTCCTCTTAATTTCTTTGCATATGAAAATAAATAAGAGACATGAAGTTTTGATGTAAACTTTTGTGAATAAGGCTGATAGGTGGATAAAAGAGACACTTAACTTAAAAATCTTTTATTTAGTAAGAATATTTTCATTCATTATAAAAACGTTTTTATTCAGTAGTTAAAGAGGGCAAGAAATGTTCTGAGAGTTTTAACATCCTATATAGCTTGTTCGGCTTTAAGAAGATATAGGGGAAAGTACATCATCAGAAAATAAGAAAATGTCAGAAAAACTAAAAGACTAAAGTCATAATTTTAGAGTTCCTAAAAACACTGCCACATACAAAAGATTTGTAGACTGGAGGCAGCTACTGAACATGGAAATCGGAGCATACATCCTGGGTACTTTACTGTATATCTCATAATGTAACACTGTAAAGTAAGATAGTCTGGGCGATATGTTGTAATCAGCTTCTTGTAAATCATAGCATAGGGAATAAAGTTGAGAAACAGGATGGGAGACCACAAGGAAGAAGTGTTGTGGCCCGTCAGCAGCCTGTGCAGATTGTAGCTGATTCCAACAACGAGGAGGCTGGTGTGGTGCTGCGCCAGCAGCCTGTGCAGCTGGCGCTTGAGTCGGACAGTGAGGAGGCTGGAGAAGATGTGGTGCCAGAGGCAGGGATTCAGCCAGGGCCTTCAGAACCTCCAGAAGCTCCTTTAAGTGAAGAGGACGAAGAGGAGGAGCCTTTTCTCAATGCACGGGCGCGCAGAGCTGCCAAAAGGCAGGAGAGGCTCCTCAGGAGGAGGTCTCCTCAAGAGTAAAGCTTGGGGCTAATTGGCCACTCCCTTAGCCTATTTAAGAAGGAACACTGCTTGCAACAAGCTGTAGAGAACAACTTTAGTTCACTCTCCTTCGTGTCTGCAAAATTGCTCCTGAGCTTTCTGCCAACGCTAGTAAGACTGATTACCTTATCTTAGAATTCTGGTAGGCTGTTAAGACAGTTCATTAACAGCCTTTGAATGATAAAGACTAAGTTATTTGAGTAAAATAAGCTTTGTATAGAGTTTGTGTGTGCTGCGTTCTTTGGGGTCCGTAGCTGGGGCAGAACAAGAAGTGGAAATATGCATCCACTTGGCAAAAGACAAACATTGTGACAGAACTAAAATGTGAGAATTCCTAGAACTTGACAGAATAGACCCCTAATTGTTGCATCAGGAATTTCTTTTTTTGTTTTTGTTTTTGTTCCATCCTGAATCTAGCATTAATGCCAGAATTATTTCAACAGTGCAAGAAGAGTTCTGATCAGATGGAATGCTTATATTTTATATGCAGAGCGTCTCAGTGTTACACATATTAGTATTTCCTATTTTTATTTTTATAATTCTAGCATATGGAAGCTTTAGCTATAAGTATTATAGCTAGAATGTTAAGCATTACAGCTGATAAGTGTTTTCAACAAAAAATACAAAAATTGATGATTTAATGAACAATGAATAAAGGAAGATATTTAAACCCCCTTCTCTCTATGTTTAATATAAAAGTATAATTTTCAATAAAATATAAGCTAATAATAATTAATAGTGCAATTAATATGAGAGTTTTTATCTAAGTCCTAAAGCTATATATAAACATTTGGTTTATATATATACATTTGGAGCAAGGGGCTCTAGAATGTATGTCTATAATATACTGTAAAGAATATCTCATTTAAGTTCCTTTTGCTCTTCAGATTAGTCTCTTGCAGTAATAGCATTTTCCTGTAAATACTCATAACAAATTAGATACAAGACTTGGTAGACAGTATGACTTTTACTGTCATAACATTAATAAAGGGAATTTGTATAGTTTACATACCACTTAGACCAAAATTAATTGACCACTTCGTTTTTTATTCAACATTAAACTTAAAGCAGATTTTTTTAAATTTTTTATTATTATAACATAAAATGATATTACAAGACATACAACATTTATATATATATATACTCTCTTAACAGCTATTTCGTGATGATCTTCTAGTATTTACATTTTCTCCCTTTTCCCTTTATATTATTCCAGTTTCTTCTTGTCCTCTCTCTTTTAATTACAGTGTATTTATTAAGACCCCTATTAACTTTATATTTTCTATACATTGACATATTCATTCTTTCCTTTTTTTACATTTCACCCCTATTTTTCTTCTCCATTATTCCTATTCCTATTCTCCAGCCACTTATACCATTTGTGCCAGATTATATAATATTCCGTATCCTCTTTTTCTTTAAGCTCTTTTGTTAATTTATTCATCTTGGCACACTTTAAGATTTTTTTTTATCAACTCTTCTTCTGCTGGTATATTTTCTTTTTTCCAATTTTGTGCGTATGCTATATGGGCAGCTGTTACAATGTATAAGATCAAATATTTTATTTCCTTGGTGTATTTTTCCGTAAATATCCCTAATAAGAATGTCTCTGGTTTTTCGTTCATAGATTGTTCTATTATTTTCTCTAGCCATTCTTTAATTTTAGCTCAGAACTTCTTTCCAGCTGGACATGTCCACCAGAGGTGGTAGTATGTTCCGTAGCTCTTGTTACATTTCCAACACATTGGAGATTTACTTGTAAACATCTTTGCAAGTCTAGCCGGGGGTAGATGCCATCTATGAAACATCTTCAGCTGGTTTTCTTTGTATGCTGTGGACATTGTTAGTTTTGTATTTATTTGCCACATTTTTTCCCATTTCTCCAATTCTATTGTGTGATTAAAGTTTTTTGCCCATTTAATCATTGTATCCTTAACTATTTCTTCTTCCATTTTATAAAATTTGTATATTCTACTGATTAATTTCTCCTCCGTCCCTTATATAATTTTGTTCAATTCATTTTGTTCAGGATGTATCGCATTTAATTTTGTGTCTTCTTTATATTTTGACCGAATTTTCGTATATGTCCACCAATCGATTTCTCTATTTAGATCTTGTTCCAATTCCTGTTTTGTTTTCAGACTTCCTTGTTCTTTTAATATATCTCTATATCTTATTATCTTGTCTTACTCAGTTAAATTTGGATGCTTTAATGTTTCTATAGGTGAAATCCAAATTGGTATTTTTGTGTAATGTTATTTTTTAATCTTGATCCAAATTTGTAGCAATGCATTCCTTAGTATGTGTCTTCTAAAGTAACCATGTATTTTATATTTTTCGTTCCAAAGGAATGCATGCCATCCCACTTGCAAATAAAGCAGAGATTTTAAGTATACAGTTGATCTTGAATGATAAATTGACCAAAGTTCAGTCAACTTGTGACTTTTTTAAAAAAGATTACATTAATTAAAAATCACATATCAGATTATCCACATTATTTGTGAAGCATTTTTTTCTTTTCCACAACTAACTTTGTTTTCCTTTAATAAATAATCATTACTTCATATTCATACTTTCATAATTATGTCTTATGAAATATATCCATTTGTCTGTGGTTTGCCTTTTTAAATAAGTAGATAATGTAGATACTAATCAGATCCTGCTGTATGGATACTACTCTGCTTGAAGAGAGGAGGTATATTTAGAACTTTTTAGTTACTATGTAGCACAGACCAAGTCATGAGAAAATTACTGATATTTCATTATTTTGGTCCCAACCTGTTTAGGGCTTTAAAATCATAAGTATCCCTGTTTCCCTGAAAATAAGACCTATCCCAAAAATAAGCCCTAGCATGTTTTTACACATGCACCTAATATAAGCCTTACCCCCAGTTGGGATGATGCATTGATTGGACCAAGTGATGGACAAGTGGGTGCAGGGGAAGGGACTTGGACTTTCTTTTGGGTGGGGAAAACCTGGAAGCTTTCAGATTCGGGTTTTCCCAGATGTGCCAATATGATATCTCTAATAAAATGGAACTTTGAGGCACTTCTAGTCTCAGAGTTTTCTTTTGTTGGGGTGTTACTTGGAACCCTGACAAGTGGACCTACATAGGAAAAAATAAGACATCCCCCAAAATAAGCCCTAGTGCTTATTTCAGAGCCTAAAAGAAAATAAGACCGGGTCTTATTTTCTGGGAAACACAGGTATTTTGGATTATTCCTAAGAATACACTGCTGACCAATAAATTTGAAATGGGAAAGCTGTTATATGCTCTGTTTTCCTAGCAACTACTCAAAATTCTGGCTGCCATATTTTAGATAATCTCTAATTTTTTTGGAGGATCTTCTGAAATACCCTTGCAGTGTGTTAATCTAATTGAAAGGTGACAACCATCACTTTGACCAAGTTAGCATACTTCAGAAATGATAGTGTTGGGGTAACATTCGAAACTCAAAGAATACTTTGCAACCCATTCTAATTGCCTGCGTATCAAATGCTCCCAATTCCACCTACTCCTTCAAGAGAATGCTGCTCCATTCAAGATGGATAAATCACCAAATTTGGATCAGTCTTATCCTTCAGAAGGCACACCTCCAGTTTGTTCAAAATTATTTTCATGCTTTGAGATCTGTTTTACTTGCAGACATTGGTTCACGATATTTACTGCCACATCACTTGAGGATAGACTAAAGATAGGGTATGTGTGTATACTGCTGTTCATTTTTCCTAGGAGTTTAACATCATAGGTAACATTATTTTCTGCCTTCCCAGTAA